CAAAACACTTTTTTTATTATAATGCTTTCTAACAAAATGAATCTCATCTTCTTAAAAAATTCAAGCATTTCATAAAATAAATTGCATAAAAAAAGGCTTCAACATTTATCTTCATAGCTACAAAAAGGAACATCTTTCCTCCCACTATCAGTAATTTGGAATGGTACTGTTACTTTGAGACTGATATTTGGTAAAAACAAAATCATGACTACCATGCAAAAGTTGGCATGAACTGCCTCTTGTTTTTCCATTTATAATTAACATACATCACATGACACTTCCATATGCAGAACACACCAATACACCCAAGAACTTCTCAATGCAGATCTACAGCAATTTATCGATAGTGGTCATAGCAGACTTCAAGTTGTTGTACTGGGAAACAGACAGGGAAATGCCTAAAAAAAAAGAGAAGAAAATATTAGCAACAGATAAAGGAAAAACCCTTTCATTACAAAACTCTTAATGATAGAATCCATTCCCCCCCCCCTTTTTTTTTCTTACATCTCCAAAAGACTATAAACCATTTCATACTCTTGTTATAAAACACCTCTTATGAAACAAAGGAAAAACTGGATCTTGTCAAAGTATGAAAAATGCTAAGCCATGAATTAAAAGAATAATGCCATACTTACCAAGTAATCATCGTAAATACCAAATATGAAATAGTATTTGTCCATAAAAAAATAAGAACATTAGAGGCCATACACACTTCAAATATAAAAATCCCAAGAATTCCCTCACCCTTCTTTCCTGGCAAGAGCTTTCCGTCCTTCTCGTAGAACTCACGGATGTCAATGTAGGTCTTGCCCTTGAACTCTCTGATGGTGACCCTTCGGTTCTTATCTATACTCAGGAACGGCTCCCCCTGCTCGTTGGTCTTGTGGTCCCCGGATGAGGACTTCTGCACCGGTTCATCCTGTCATGGAGGGGGATATGGCCATTGCAGAGAATTCTAATACCAAACTATTTACAGCAATATTCAAGTCTAATTCATTATATAGGCAATAAGTATGTGATTAACATGGTTAATAATGACAATTCACTTTTTTGGCAAGAAACTTATGACGGGGGAGGTACGACAATTGCCTCTACTCTGATGCCCCAATCACCAGGATGACCGCTGACATTCACAATATAAGCCAGACAATTTCTTAGGCACAGAACAATATGCACTAATACACTCTGGCCTCAACAAACATTACTAAAAACAATTGTGAATGGGCTAACGGTGAGAAGAGCAAGAATGGTTAATACAGACATGTATAAATGAGAATGAATGACTTCACAATCCAAGAGATGCAACTGATGCATTTAGATTAAATTTTCATCAGCATCACATCACTATCATGTAATTTTGACAGACTGAATTCAAACCTGTCAGAATACATTGCTAACAATGTGAAGTTCATTTTACTCTCAATTACCTTTACCTATACCTTTTCCTGCATTTGTCATACATGCCTCTATCAGAATCACTAGCTTAAGGCAAAGATAACTCTTCCCCTGCTTACTACTTAAAGACTATTCCTCTTAAAATAAACCACCAAGAAATTAAATTTTTGGGGGGGAAAAACATCAATATTTTATTCCGCACAAGTATAACCTCACCTCCACCGATGTATCACTTGTATCATCATCATCCGAGTCAGCTTTGCGCTTTGAGGACTCTTCACTCTTGAGTTTCTTGGATTTGTGCTTCAGATCCTTGTCCTTAGGCATTTTGGTTCTGCAGGAAACAGGGGAATTGATTACTATATCAACATTACATACTGAATGAGGTTTAGACCAGGTACAAGCAGGTACAAGGATTTTCATAAGCTTTTAATTTTTTCATGCATATTATGGCTGATGAATATTTACGGTTCTAATTCAGTTTGGATATCCATTTTCATTAAACCACCTGACAAGGAGTCAAACAAGGAGCAACCAATGCAATTTTATTATCCATGGAACAAAAGTTTCAGTTCAGCTGATAACAGGTTGTGAGTATTTATTTGGTGTTAAGCAAATAAGAGAAAGTACAACACAGGAACTGAGGGAATGAGAGTTACTGAAATTTTAAAAAATAGGAAGAGGTCAAATAAAACTTGAAATCTGTATATATAGCACATAGCATTTAATATCTTGAGATCAAATATCACCTGGATTATATCTTATGCATATGGCTGTATGGAAGATAAAGTTTAATAATAAATTTTTAACAACATAGACATATTTCCTTCTCCTTGCCAATAACACTGATATGCTGATATGTAATATTTTTAAACACTTTTTCAAGACTGGATTATGAAAAATAGTCTCATACACAATCTCTTCTGCAAAGTGATAGCACATCCATCACAAATACCCAAACATTTTAACTATGATCCATAAATACCATTCTGAAATCTTATACCTGAGAGTAGCAAAACACAATGGCTAAAGTGACACTATAGTTGGAGAGATCATCACGCTATTACTTCAACACAATCATAGTTGAACTAAGTTATGTTTAGCACACAATAAAATATCTACCAGACATTTAAATTTTCTGGCCAACTGTTGACACTTTATTAACACAATTTTTAATATATTTAAACTACAGCCTTTTTTTTTATTTATTTATTTTTTTCTTTTTTTTTCTTGTACTATATGTATATCCAAAACTAGGGTAAGCTTTAATAACCCACAATGGTTTTCCCCAAAATAGGGCTTTTCCTCAGATAAATCGGTTGTGTATTATCTAAATCTACTCAAAATATGTTGGGATCTACAATGGAATACCTACATAATTCAAAATTCAACCCAATTACCACACAAACATTGACTTTTATACTATTGTAGCTTTGATTGCTAACTCATTTAAAAACTCTTTTTTTACATCTAGCCTTCAATTTACGTTTTTGTAAGAGACATTAGAGAAGTTTCTAATATTTTCCTTTATTGTCGACATTTTGTGGAGTTACGGTTTTTCCAAAGTCCATAACTCAGTCATCCATAGAGGGCCCACTCTATAAATTTGTGTCATAGTTATCTATACATAAAGGAAGCTTTTGATATAAAATTTGCCTCAGGGGGGAGAGGTACTAAATCACAGGGAGCCAATGAAAATGAAGATGGTTTTTCAAGATTGGTATTTTTGTCATGTAGGATATGTTAGAGAACCTGTCACCACAATATAAGCTCCCACAACTTGTACATCTTCAGACTGAGTGAGAAGCACGAGAAGTTCACCTTGCAGAGCCACTACCAAACTTAATCATGTCAGTCATGAGATGCAGCATCTTTGAATTGTTGAAGCTGCACTTTACCTGCAAGATGTGGGGAAAATTTTGCATTCCAAGTGAGAGATTTCAAGGGACATCTCTCAATCGCTCACATGCCACTTAACCCTTTGCAGCTGGGTGGTTTCCCAATGCGGAAGCCTCCTCTCCCAGGCTTCACTGCCAGGGGATCATGTCGGCACCACAGCATGTGCAGCATGACCATGCATGCCCCCGGAAAACAACCGGCGCACCATGACACGTATGCACATGCCACCCAGAATACAGTCCAGGCATGCCATGGCATGCACATACATGCCATCTGGCGGCAATGGGTTAATCTATACCCTCCATTGTGAAAAACTTCTTGCCTTCCCCACACATCATGTGTAGTAGTAACAAAAACCAGTACAATGCATCATGAAGAATACATTGATGTGAAACTAAATGGATTCTGACATGTAGACCTATTCTAGAAAATCAGGTTAGTGTTACCTAGGGTGATGCACTTAGATAAGAGAAAAATGGCTATCTTATAGAGCATGAGAAACAGTCATAAAACACACAGGGACAACTATTGTGGTCTCATATTTACCATGAAATAATATAATCTTCTGCATGTCACTGCTCAGAGACTAAGTGCACAAAAGCTTCACACAGCCTGAGTTCTAGATTTGCATTTTCTATATTTCCTCTCTGCTGCAGCTCTTATATACCCTCCACACTAAAGGTATGCATCACAAATGTTTTCTACAGCGAAATTGTTGCTGTAGTTGGCATGAAGTGCTAATAAAGTTAGGTCTTGCCCGCTATCCAGGGAACGGTATACGGTATCGAGAGTGACGAATCCTCCAGAGACAAAGTCCCACAACCAGGATATCACGCGAACCCGAAATCCAAACCCAAACTTCCCGACCTCCTATCTATTCCCTAGACCGCACTTTATTCGCACTTTGAGCCAACTGCCACAATTTTGTTATGGAAAATATTTGTGACATACCTTTTGTGTGGTGGGTACATACAAGCTGCGGCAAAAAGGAATTATAGAAAATGCAACATCAAGAACTCTGGCTGTGTGAAGATTTTGTGCACTTTGTCTCTGAGCAGTGACTTGGATTAATTATAACTATTTCTTATGCTCTACAAGATGGCAGTGTCTATTTCCCTCTAATATTAATAATTCTACAGTAATGAGCTGATTGAATCAAGCCTAAATACAGTTCTTCCAACTCTTCACAAAGAAGTGTCCTAATACACAAGAACACGCATTTTGATGAAAAATATGAAAAACACTTAATGCTAATGAAAGCGGCCATGACACCTTCTCCCTGTGACGCTGCAATTCAGTCCAGGGATTACTTTAACTGAACATCCCCGAAAACTCGCCCGAAACTACAAAAGAAAGGCGAAAAGTCCGTTATTTAAGCACGTGCAGCAAATCCCTCCCGCGACGCGCCGCCAATTCCCACCCAGGCACAAAACGCCGCTAACGTATTTCGCGTCATTTATACCAAAAATCACATCACCCTTGCAAGAAAAACACGACTCGCAACACCCCCCGATCACCCGAAATACCTGTAAAGTAAACAGCAGCGAGAAACGAGAGGAAAAGGACGGAAAACCCACCGAGTTCGAGCACGAGTCGGCACGGCGCGAGAAGAGAATCGGGGACCAATGGAGGCGAACTTTTTTTTTTTTTTCCTTTTTGTTTCCTAACGATTAGCGGGAGAGGAACGCGTCTTCCCGTTGGTTCTG